GCAGGGACAGCGCGGGGCTGCCCAGAGGGAGGGAGGGAGGGAAGGGGCTTCGGCCGCCGGTCTCAGAGCACAGCCAAGCACCGTCCCTGCCGCGCTCCCCATCCCGCAGCACCGCACAACTACCGGACACGTTTGCGAGGAGAAAAAAAATCTCCTCACAAGCTGCTCTTACTGCCTGTTTTTTAAAAAACTAAGGACTCCCATGAAGTGAGATGTACTTTTATAGCCCAGCAGGCAGCTGGCGGTGCTGGGAGCTCCAGCGAGCGAGTGAAACCAGGTCACCTGTGATCTGCAGACACACCTGAGAGGAGGCAGGCGCGTCTCAAATTAACGCACTCGCTGCACTGCAGTGCAAGACTTGATCTGCCTTATTTAAGGGCTAGATCTATTTATACCACCCCTCAAAACAACTCACGTACCCAACACGCGTTCTGCACCGCTCAACGCGCTGCACTAACCAGCAGTCACACACAGGCCATGCACAGGTGACGGCTTCTGGACGAAAAAAAGTAACACACACAGTAAATACATACACACACCTGGCCAGTAGCCTTCTTCCTGCCTTTTGTCACTGCCAGGGGCTACGTTCCCCCCTGCTCAGCTGACTAAGCCTTAAGTTATTGGAACACACATGAGCCTCTCCATGGCGCAGGACAGCCCCCGGACACGACGCGCCTCGCCAGGGCACGGGGCCTTCGCAGGGTGGGTGGGAGCATCGGTGCAGTCACGGGCAAGGAAAGCAGGGATTGAATTGCTAACTGAAACCCAACGGCCCCTTGAAAGCTGAACAGCTGGAAAGGGAAAATTAAGCGCACTTAATGCAATCCTCTTCATTAGTCCTAGCAAAACACGGCAGAAAGCCTGACTGTGTTGCTCCCCACCAGTATTTTGGAGCCCCCATTCCTGTAAAAATCCCGTGATGAACAGGGAAGAGGGCGGCAGCAAGCAGTACCCCCGACCTTGACCAGCAGCCAGCGCCAGGGAGGTGGGAAGCGCCGTCGGAGCCCCGCGCGGAGCGGGACGGCCCGGCAGGCTGGCCCGGGACGCGTCTCCCGCGACGC